TTGTAAAATCTCATTTTTACAATTTCATAGTTTCGGCTTACATTTGTAAAATTCATCGAAAGCACGTACCTATTTCGGCTGAGTTATCCATTTTCGGCTATTTAGTGTACAAAATAAACGCAAATTAAATGAGTTTGTACAACATGGTCATTATTGTAGCGATAAGTTGTACAACTTCCCAGAAAATCCAAATTTTTTGATCTTTCATACAACCAAGACATAAATTCATTCCACAGGCCCACAAACGGTTCAATCTACAGTAAAATAACACCAAGCTGAACCAACGGTCGCTACGTTTATGGCTTTCTTTAAGAAACATCGGGCGAAAATTTCAACTTCTCCTGTAACACTACCTTATATAAGTTGGCCTTGCTATCATCCTCACATATGTTCATCAGAGTATACCAACGAAGGACGAGTTAATACAAGGAGATAGCGAGAGCACAAAACTACTCTAGAAAATTACACGCACAATGACAAACATGAACAAATGTACAACAAACACATAATTTTTGACAATCAGTACAGTTCGCATTTATATCAACGAGCAGCTTATTAGATTTGTTTTCGTTTGTAGACAGGTGATTTTTGCAGGTTAAGATACCATTCATGACATCAAAGTATGACATATCAGTGAGGATTCAACATTGCGTGTCAAAGTACGAAAGCCAGTATGCCCATCAGTACATCAACGAAGCCCGTTTGCTTCATCATAAATATATCCATACAAACATATGTACATATGTACGAATGGATGTAGTTACGCGAAACACGCTTGCATCATTTATACATATATTGCTTAGTAGCGGCAGAGCTGAAATGCGCAACGAGCTCGTTCATACATACATATGTATGTATGTATGTATTCATACATACGTGCATTCAAACATACATACATATATACATATGTAGGTACTGGTACCCGTCATGCGTCGCTTTATTTCTTTTTTCCCCTTCCCTATACTCCCTATATCTTCCTTCTCACTCATGTAACGTTTTCAGTTTTAAAAATTTCACTCTCCATTTTTGCGATACCGCCGCCTAAGAAGTTTCACTTCAAAAAAAAAAAAAAATATTCCGACGAACTGATAACCTCCTCCTTTTTTGGAAGTCGGTTAAAAATAAGTGCACGTTTTTGGTGTGACCTCATAACTTGTGAACGGCTTCACCGAATTCAACCAAATTTATGTGGCATATTCGATCTATCATGCAGATGGTTTATGCGAAGTTTGCCAGAATTCGGAAAAGGGGGCGTGGCACCACCCATACTAACTAAAATATAAAAATAAGTGAACGTTTTTCTGAATTGGACTACGCATACATGTGATACTTATGCTTTTAATTTATAAGGTAATTTTATGTTTTTATACTCTTGCTACCACATGAATATATGAATTCGTGATAAGAATATATGAATTCGCCTAGGAAGATAGAAAACGAGTAAGAATAAAAGCCGAACAAAGGAATTTGTCTTCTTTCAACTAAAATAAATGCAATACTACTAAGGTAATGGCGAATACGTAAGGATCTATAGATTTCATTATAAACATTTTCATTTATTTGTTAAACACACAATTACTTCCATTACAACCCGGTCCTATAGATGCTAAAGCGCGAATTCATATAAAGTGGTGTTACCGGAAAATGAATAAATAAATTATATGTATATCAGAAAATTAATAAGATGAAATGAAATTATTGTTTGATTTCTAACCAAACCTATGTATGTAACTCAATCGCCTAATGGTTAGCCGAACCGTAAACATATGTTTACACATCCAATTTCGTGAGTAGGTACCTGGTACTCGCACCGTTTTTAAGAAGTTTCACTTCTATCATGTGTACGGTGTTACACACTCATTTTTTTGTTATGTATGTTACCGCATAACTTTGGACCGCGTCAACCGATTTCGATAATTCTTTTTGCATCGGAAAGGTAGTGTCTCAGAGGTGGTCCCATACTAATCTCGTAAGATCCGATCAGCGGATCATGAGATATATATATATATATTTTTTTTTTATATGGGAGTTGAAGTCGGTTTGTTTTTTGCTAAAAATTACTAGTTATATATAAGATGTACGTAATATGCACTTACATATGTATGCATGTATATATATAATTGCACTCCACTCACTCTGATAAACTCTTCTGATATCTGAATACTACCTCATAGATATCACTCTTAAATTCGTAGGCAAGTTACGGATTTCCCGCTTCCCATACACGTCCATTTGAGGCAACAAAATTGCCGATGTCGTCCCAAGAATCATTTTGGTTGCAGTAGTAATCGTCTCTAAGACCCGCTTAACAACTTTGGCGTACCCATCGTCATCCCTTTTTTCAAGCCGGCGTCGCTTTGCCCCTGAAGTTGATGGAGTCGGATAGGGTTCTTCAGATCCAAACATACCTCGGAAGGAGAAACGGATGAAGTTGATGGGGTTTGGCTTTTCTGAATTGGTTAATACATATGTATATGTATGTATATGACTATTCCGGTATCCGACGGATGGCATCCGCACTGGCAAGTAAAAATTTAATTTCATATACTCACTAGAGCTGGGATACTATCGATAGTAATATCGATAGTATCGATAGTTGAAAACTGTCGCCACTATCGATTGTTTTTGAAAACTATCGATGTCGGGTTTAGCGAAACTTCTCTCTTTACATCTCTTAACATTACATTAATTTTTTTTTATCCAAGAAAATTCACAATACAATCGGCAAAAAAAATTTTAGTTATTGGAATTTTTAGCAACTATAAGCTTACACTGAGGTATAGTAAAATTGAATAAGCTATAACACCGCTTACACAAAATTCTTATAGAAATTCGAATTAAAAAGCTTGAAATTTTAATGATTTTGTAGTTTTTTATGTTTAGTACAACTACTAAAGTACTACTAGTAAACAAACAAAAAATAGTCAAAACTGCTAAAAATGTTGTGTTGCTATTATTTTGAGAAGTACTTTATTCGTTTTCTTATAATATGGTAAAATGTTAATAATTTCCTTTGTCCGGAGTACGATATGCGCCGCCGCATTTGATCTCAGTTGAACTTTTATAAGTATGAGTTGTCAATTTAAACGAATATCTTTTGTTTTGTTTTGTAGTATTAGAAATGTATTATTATAGCCAGTTTCACTTCTTTGCACTTCAAAAGGGACAAACATATGTATATATAATTCAGACGCATAAATGAAATAATTTTATTTTATTATGATAAGTATTTTTGGTGCACTCAAATTTAAACAAATTTATATAATCTCTTTAACTTACAAAATAGTTTATAAATTTATTAATTATTTAATTTTTAAGCAATTTACCATTTCAATTCAATACCTCTCACGACGATAGTACTATCGATACTATCGATGTTTTCAACTATCGTTTCGAAAACTATCGAGTGGCGGTACTATCGATAGTATCCCAGCTCTAATACTCACATCCATCAAGTTCGAAGTTGTTGGTGCTTCACTACGCAGCATGGGCTCCAAAAATTTTAGTAACGTGTATAGCGGGGTTGACGGTGTCACTTTTGCACCTTGTCCACTCTTGGTCTGCCCCATTTTATTAAAGGTTGCCTAAATTTGTAAAAACAAATACATAAATAACTAGTATTTTATAAATATTAAGCTGGCATTTCAAGGTACTATTTTATATATATATAAGGAAAATTTGAAAGTTAGGGGGGGAGGCTCGATCACCCCCCCTGCCCCTACCTGGCTACGCCCATGTGTAGGTATATGTATTTACATACTAAGGCAGCTCATGGAAACGCATAAATGGCTCGTAACCATGTAAACCTCGTAAACTTACCTAATTTTTTATGGAAAATCGGTTTATTTGCGAGGTTTGCGCCGTATGTATAACCAAACTTGTAGTGTAATTAACTTGAAGTTGGTTGCCTACGTAAGCAAATGCATGAAAGTTGAGAAAATTCAACTCTGTGCCCATTCGAATTCATGTTCGTATTTTTGTCCGTTCTCTGCGCTTACGCGCGTACTTATGGAGTTTATTCCATAAGAACATGTGTATACAACTCAGCTCTCAAATGCACGCATACGTATACGTACGCATACGCTTGCCTATGGAGTTCCAGCTTTACTGAGCGCTCTATGACCACATGCGGGTTTCACCCACATACGAGCAATGATTTCCACGCACGCAGTCTTATCCATTGAATCGTTTTTTTTGCTATGGTCGGCATGCTAGCGCATTCAAACGATTCAATAAGTGGGACTGTGTGCATTGCTCAGCTGACGCTTTACCGGAAGCGTTGCCACTTGAAAATTACCGGCCGTCTGCACGTGCTGGAAAATCTCGCTTGCGTGACGACGCATACGAGAAACCGCACGTGTAGACCGCAAAAAGTTCGAAGCATGCTTTTTCTCGCATACCGAGCGGTATTCGAGCTCTCGCTTGCTTTCAACTGTCATTTTTGTTATTTGACAGCTATGTTCTCATTTCGCAGAATACTACAGAGTAGCAACATCGTTTATTTTGGAGGCAAATACAAATTTAGATGCAGCCATTTTTCATTTGAAAATAGTATACATAAAGCAACATGGGCTATTTCTATTTCTAATTTTCTCAAACTTTTAAGAGCCTGCAAGGCTTCAACCTTCTTGTTTGGCGACATTTTACAAATGAAAAAGTATACTGTCAAATGCCCAGTCAACAAAACTCTATCTCGCTTGCGAGAGAAAAAAAAAGCATGCCAGCGAGATTTTCAAGCATGTGAAGACGGCCGGTTAGGGGTGGCTCACAAGCATGCATATGTTCCGCTCTCAAACCAAATCGTGGTTGCCTCAACTAAGATTTGGTAACTATGACTAAACCATATGTTGAAAGAAAGCTTATCTGTACTAGCCGAGCTTAATGACATCCTTTTATGAACCATACGTCAAGTTGAATGGAATTTGTTGAAATATGCTTCAAAGAAATATTTATTAGTATTTACCAAACCTTTGAACTAAATTAACGATTTGGTACAACCTAGATGAATATTAGGAGCTTTAATATATTTAGTTATAATTACCAAACCATGGTAATAGTTCCCAATCCTTGGTAACAGTTCCCAAATATTGTCAAAATTCGGGAACTAAATATCTTTAGTTGTCGAAACTAATCCTTTGTCTCAGTGTGTATTTTAGGACGAGTGGATAAGGCTTAAGCCAAGAGCTTCGGTGATCAAATCCACTTTTTAGCAAAAAAATACAGTTACGCGGGTGTGCAGAACGACGATACGCGGTTTTGTACTTTAACCGACGACATATGAATGCAAATACACTCAGAAAAAGGTTTAGTTATAATTACCAAGATTTGGTTATAGTGACCAAGTGGCATAGTTGGATATGGCGAAATAAATATCTAGTTCACGAAAGTCTGCAATTTACTTGAGACGTCTAGTTGGGACAAATGTATATTTGTTAATAATTACAAAACGACTACCTTGATTGGATAATATTGTTAGTTGAATAAAATCATTGTTGAGCAAATATAAACAATGCTTTGGTTGATACAAGTTTTCAATTAATTTTGTGAACTTGCTGTAGACGTGAATCAGCTAACCGTTTATTATTGAAAAAAAGTTTCCAGTTTGACACAAATAAAAATTTACTTGATGGCTGTTGTGTTTACTTTCTTCTTTATTTGCATATTCTAAGCATAAAAATATATACATATTTATATAAATAGTTACTAGTGTAAATAATACATATGTATATGGTGGTAAAAGAAAGAATGAAACAGGAATAGTCGTGCGAAAACCCCGGTCAATATCTGCTGGTTTAAGTATACTGCTTTGGTTTTTCCTTGGCTAAATAGATACTTTCAAAATGAGAAACCCCGGTTGGCATCAAACTTTATATTTTTAAATAACTATGCGCACACCGAAACAACTCGCGGCGATGGCAAACCTGAAACTGAGACAAACAAGCCTGGGCATGTCATAGCACACACTTTTCTTTCTCTATCTAGCGCAGTGATCGACATGCCACAGCTTACTGAGCGCTCTGTGACCACACGCGTGTTTCACCCATATACGAACAGCGGTAGCGGAGCAATGATTTCCACACACACAGTCTCATTCATTGAATTTATGCAATGGTCGGCATACTGGCGCATTCAAACGATTCAGTAGGTGGGACTGTGTGCATTGCTTAGCTGGCGCTCTTCGTATGTGAAACACACATGTGCTCAGAGAGCGCTGAGCATTATTTAGGGGTGGCTCACAAGCATGAATATGTTCCGCTCTCAAACCAAATCGTGGTTGCCTCAACTAAGATTTGGTTTGAAAGAAAGCGTATCTGTATTAGCCGAGCTTAATGACATCCTTTTATGAACCATACGTTAAGTTGAATGAAATTTGTAGAAATATGCTTCAAAAAATTATTTGTTAGTATTTACCAAACCCTTCAACTAAATTAATGATTTGGTACAACCTAGATGAATATTAGAAGCTTTAATATATTTAGTTATAATTACCAACCCATGGCAATAGTTCCCGATCCTTGGCCACAATTCCCAAATATTGTCAAAATTCGGGAACTAAATATCCTTAGTTGTCGAAACTAATCCTTTTTCTCAGTGTAATGCGTTAGTATAGAAAAAACTGCGATGAGCCGAAAAAGTACCTAAAGATGTAACAATTTTTCCTTATACTATTCACTCCCCTATTCTAATAAAGTCTCAAAATTCAGTACATCACTATTGCGATTTATACTGCACCTCAAAGTATGCCGCTAAAGCAAACATGCCGACTCGAAATGAAACTTAAAATTTTAGTGTACTTCATCGGCACTTAAAATCTATGTTTTGGTGGCATATTATTAGGCGCAGTATAAATCACAATAGTGATGCGCTGAGTTTTGTGACATTTTTAGAATAGGGCGGTTTATCAAAAAATGTTAATCTCGTCCGAAAATTTCGCGTTTACGCCGATTTTTCGAGTCACTTTTTGCCGAATCGAGTTTCAGTAGTCCGAACGGGGACCTGTGCATGTTTATACGTATTTGTATATACTTATTTAAAAAGTTTGTTAAGTTTAATAAGAACGTTGCTTTTTCTACCGCCGCCGCAAAGATATATCATAGGAAAAGAAGAAACAATTGGAGTATTTTCCGACCGGTACTTAACAATAGGGTAGCCACAAGTTTGATCGAGTACTTTCGGCTAAATCCTACCGAAATTGTAGCCGTAAATCTTGTAAAACCTTAAAATTGACTAATACGGAAACGCAGAATTGACCGTTTCTTCATTTCTTTAGCCAACTTCACTTTTTAACGCGCTGTCGAGGTCTGATTCTCTTACTGCTCAGCGTAACCCCCATATTATTTTATTTGCTTCATACCAGTTAAGGTAGGATACAACCTATGGTCTAAGCCAAACATCTAAATAGGTGGGAAAGCAAGTAAATACTTTAACCGCGTACACGTTACCCAACTAAGTAAGTACTTGGGGAAAGGATTCGAGTACAAAAAGTACTCAGTACTTGAAGAAAGAATCGAGTAATTACTCATAGTTACTTGTATTGAAACAACACTAATTATTAAATGGTAACAAATTTTACTAGTTACAAGAGTGCGCAGATAGCGAAAAGGGTTTTAGAATTGACAGAAACTTTATTTACTGGCCTAATCTGCACGTTACCGACGACGGAAAATTGTATTACCAAAAAATGTTACCGTTTCTTGTCACCGCAATTCTAGGTACGCTGGTAATGCAGTAAAATATTCAGCACTTCAGCTCTGAAAAATTATTGAAATTCTGATGTTGTCTATTGCACGGGGTAATATTTTGTTACTAGCTTATGAGATGGCAACAAAATTTACTGATTACAACAGTGCACGGAATTCGAAATGGTTTAAAAGTTGCCGTAAACTTTATTTTCCAGTTACAAAATTTTTGTTATCAGCGCAGAATTATTCTAAAGGAAAACCTTGGCTACTTTGACTACTGTTTATTTGTTGGTTCATTTGAATTTTCTTCATTTTCAACATTGTTCCTCGGATTTAATCTTGTATTAAGTAACATAAACAAACAGTTACGGCTTACTGTAACACTGTAGGTAAATTATAAAGTTTTGAAATATCACTGCTAGACGACCAAACACATAAACTTAATTTGGTCTCCAGTTTACGATGGCGTTCAGAAAATCCGTATCACGTCAAAATTTTGAGATATTGAGGAGGGAAGTTTTAGAGCTCTGAAAGTGAATTTTTCGTTGTTTATAACACTGTGCTCAGGTTTTGAACTTTTTTTCTGGGAAAAGGTTTATAAGCTGAACTTCCTTGATTGGGATCTTCTAAATTCAATGGCGTCCCCTGTTTTAACGGTACTTGAAAATTTGCTTAAATTTTAGCTTTTTTGTTAATGAACGGATATAAACCAAATTAGTATGACACCACCTCTAAAATACCACCTTTCCTTAAAAAAAAAGAATTATAGAAACCGATTAACGTGGTCCAAAGTTATGCGGTAACATGCACCAAAAAAATAAAAAATTCGACGAATTGATAACCTCCTCCTTTTTTTTGAATTCGGTTAAAAATATTCCAGTATGGGAAGGAAAAGAACCCACAGTCAGGTCCAAATAGTGTAAAACCTAATAAAATTAAAAAATATTACGAAATAAAATATGAGTTATAGCCAAAACCACATATCTGAACAATCAGTTGTATGGGAGTAAATTAACTTTAAAAATGTGGGAATTATTAATAATAAAACTTAAAATGTAAGCCAATTTTCAAGTACCGTTATCTCGAAAACCGGAGTCAATCTGGCAAAACGGGGGACGCCATTGAATTTATAAGATCTCAATTAAGTAAGATCAGCTTTTAAATAAAACCTTTTCCGAAAAAAAAATTCAAAACCAGAGAACAGTGTTATAAACGACGAAAATTTAACTTTCAGAGCTCCAAAACTTCCTTCCTAAATATCTCAAATATTTGACGTGATACGGATTTTCTGGAAACGCCATGGTTATCTAGAGGCCAAAATTAAGTTTTTGTGCTTGGCCGTTTAGCTGTGATATTTTTGCCTCCCTACTGTGTAATTAGTTGGTAAGAAAATGTATTATATGCAAAATAACACCTACTTATAATTCTATTTACATGTATTTTCAAGATCCGTCCTCACCAACCGGCTTGATGACACGAGAGGGTCTCATCGAACCCGCTCCATAATCATGTATGGGCGTAGTGACCTAGCGAGTACAGGCCAGAGCGCCCGGACTATTACCAGTTTGCTACAAGAATCTACAGATACAACCAACAAACTTACAACTTGCACTAAAAAGAATGTTCAACGTATCAGTAACAGTGTTCAGGAACAAATTGAACAACTTTTTACTGATGTAGCTAAAGATGCTACGTGCAGCTTTCCAGTGGTTTACTTAGGCTCTCTATCATTAAAATCTAAAGTTACAAGCCTTCAAGAACTACAAGGACCTCTTCGGGAACTGTATCTAAGGGACTCGCCTATTACGGTAATTTAAATAAATTACATAAATATAATATATTATATGCTTATTTCACACACATATCTAATTTAGAAACAAATGGCTGGGTTTCTGGAAATTTGTACAAAGGGATTAAGAGTTAAACTAAGCTCAACTCCTATTGAAAATGCCAAAAATTATGAAACCACTACCCCTTTCCATAATATTGCTGTTTGGTCCGCAGTAAAGTTGGTAATTTCAAATAATGATGGTAGCGCAGCCTTTTTGCCATTGATTACGGATCCCGAAAATATTGAGAAGACTTCACTGTTTCGTCCTCTGTGGTAAAGTATATGTACATGTATGTATATGTAACACAACAGTAAATATTCGATTGATTTTACAGTGGAACGGAAAATAATCAAGTACTAAACAGCGGCCTAGCTCCGATTTTCGCGGTGGTGATGCGCTCCGCAGGCTCGCCAAAAGTTCTTAAATGCCATGCATTTATATGTAAAACTACTGAAGATGCAATCGTAATTGCTGCTACACTTTATCAAAGCTTAATGGTACATGTGAATACAAGTTCGCACCGCAGTTGTAAAAGACGTGCGCCCCGAAACCAAAATGGCGTTAGTTGCGTAAGTACTGCCAGTAGTTCTGTCCGAACTGGCTCAAAATACTTATCGAATTCTCAAGCATTAGTCAATGGACGCAAGAGTTCTTTTCGCAGTTCAAGTGAAAGCTTCGGAGCGAAAACCGCCACACCTCCAAGAATAGGACGCAAGAAGCGTGTTACGAATGGCGCTCTTGCATCCAGCAATAACATTATTAATGAGGCGGAAACTACAACAGAAGAACGCAAGAGAAAATCTCACAAAAGTAAACGTGCACCATCAGTTCCAAAAGTCCTACATGCAGGTGCGTCTAGTTGTAACAAGAGTGTTCCAAGCACTCCTGGGCTCAAAGAATCCCTCTGCGATTGCTGCGGAAGCAAAAACATCAACCATAAAAATTTACGGACTGGAAAGGCTGTAGAAAGTGTGTACAAAGTTTTAGAGGTTTTAGATGCAAGACCTTTACCAATAACGGACTCAGTGGGTAGTAACTCCAATACTGGTCCACACTGTGAAACCAATGGAGATATATTAACACGAGTAGCAATACCACGATCCGGTAGCTTCCTAAATACGGGAGGACTTACGCGGTATAAATCAAGAGCTGCGCGTTGTCATTCGGGAAAATCAGGCGGTGGTGGTGGGTGAGTACTTTCTGAACTAACATAGAACCAGGCGTTATTTTTTACAATTCATAAGCGAAAATCCTCTCCAAAATTAAAATAACCTCAAAAAGTTAACGAACAGAAAACGTCCAGTTACTTCCAAAAACAAGAAGAAAAAGACAAACGAGCTTTGTTTGAGGTTTGTTGGTAAATACACATATACATATATAAGTTGTGGGAGAAAGGAAATGGGACGTTCAATGTTCACCAGTAAAGAAAAATTCGAAAGCGAGTCAAGTTCTGAACACATTGAAAACGACGAGCTACCGACCACAGCTTCCAATTTGTCATCTTTATTATCTAAGCGCTTTGTCGATGGCGACATGATTTCTTTGAACGCGGCAGCGACATCATGAATTTGTATGAGTTTGACATAAAAGAAGAGGAAGAACCTTATCTGTCGCCAGAAAAATAGAAATAGATCTAATCTGGCCACAACCACAGCCGTCGCGTAGCCCGGTCGTCGCCAAAATAATTATCTACATAAGAGTACGTGTTAAAATAATTTGACAGCTGTGGTTTGTAGCTCGTCGTTTTCATTGCGTTCGATCTATAACAGTGATATTTGGTCCCTATTATTTTTTTATTAATTTTTTTCAACCAATTTCGTAACATAATAATAATGGGAGCGTCTCATTACGATGCATTACAAAATTCTACATCGCAAAATTCTGCAAAATATTAAAAAATTCTCCTATATCAAAATTCCATATTTTTTTAATTCTGCTTTTTTCCTTTTTTTCTTTTTCTTCTTTTTCAAAATTCTGCTTTTGAAAGTTCCGTATTTTGAAATTCTGCCTCACACAATTCTACTTTTCGCACTTTCTTCTTTCAAAATTCTGCTTTAGAGGTAGATAAAATCTGACAAAATTTACCATATTCACGTCTTTGGCTGTGTGCCAATCGGTGCCTTTTTCTCCGTGGTGAGACGGGTTGGGAAATTTACTATGGTGTACGAATAAATTGAGTTTTGCTGTGCCAAATGCAAAGTAAAATTTTGGCAGTTGAAAACCCAAACCAACGCTCGTGCGAATGCTCAGTTTCTGTGTTTTGCTGAAATTGATAAAATTTATATCTATTTTATAACTTGTAAGCATATATGTAATACTTCTATATTGGCAGTAAGCTAACTTCTCAATGTGTAAGCATTCCGAAATCAAAGCGAGACAGTCTAGTACCATTTTTGTCAATGTATTGTGTACTTGAGTGCCGTTTTTGTATATGTGTTGTGTACATGTTTATTTATAAACGTATGTGTTCCTTTTCCTTCGTGCGTGCTTATTGATATATCTGTACTGTAGTGTTTTCGGACGGTACTAGCTCTTACTGCCAATATAGGAGTATTACATACAGGGTGTCCCAGAAGTAACGTGCCAAACTTTAGGGCAAGGTAGGTGGGGGGGTGAGCTCACTGATAAACAAAAAATTTTCAGGTAAAAGTGTCACCGTTTTTGAAATATTTACATTTTTTCGAATTTAAAAAAAATCGTGCCTTTTCATGTGTTTTCTTTAACTGCAACTACAAACCGGGCAATACTTAGTAAATT